GTGAGCCAAGATCGTGCCATTGCACTCCAGCCTGGGTGACAGAGCAAGATGCTGTCTCAAAAAAAAAAAAAAAAAGAAAAAGAAAAAAAAGAAATCAATAAGCAGAATCTGAAACTCACATGAAAATTCAAGAGACCCAGAACAGTCAAAACAATCCTGAAAGAGAACAAAAGTTGGGAAACTCACACTTCCCCAGTTTCAAAAGTTACTGCAAAGCTACTGTAATGAAGACATGTGGTACTAGCATAGATATACAGATCAGTGAAACATAATTTCAAGTCCAAGAACAAACCCATACACTCATGAGCAACCAATTTTAAACAGGGGTGGCAGAAAAAATCAATGGAGAAATAGTCTTTTCAACAAATGATGCTGGGACAACTGGATATCCACATGCAAAAAAAATGAAACTGGACCCCTACCTCACACCATATACAAAAATTAACGCTAGGAATAGTGACTCATGCCTGTAATCCCAGCACTTTGACAGCCAAAGTGGGAGGATTGTTTGAGTCTGGAAGTTTGAGACGACCAGCTTGGGCAACAGAGTGAGAACCTGTCTTCACAAAAAAATTTTAAAAATTAGTCAGAAATGGTGGCACACACTTGTAGTCTCAGCTACTTGGGAGGCTGAGGTGGGAGGACTGCTTGAGGCCAGGAGGTTGAAGCTGCAGTGAGCTGTGACTGCACCAATGCACATCAGCCTGCATGACAGAGTGAGACCCTGCCTCAAAAAAAAAAAAAAAAAAAGATAATAATTAAAATGACAGACCTAACTATAAGAGCCTAAACTATAAAACTGTTAGAAAAAAATAAAAAGAGTGTAAATCTTCATGACTTTAAATGAAGGAATGGTTTTTTAGATAGAAAAAAAATTTAGTGTAAACCTTTGTGACTTTGAATGAAGGAATGGCTTTTAATATATAAAACCAAGGCCAGGCAAGGTGCCTCACACCTGTAATCCCAGCACTTTGGGGGGCCAAGGCTGGTGGATCACTTGAGGTTAGGAGTTTGGGACCAGCCTGGCCAACATGGCAAAACCATGTCTCTACTAAAAATACAAAAATTAGCCGGGCATGGTGGTGGGTGCCTGTAATCCCAGTACTCAGGAGGCTGAGGCAGGAGAATCGCTTGAATCTGGGAGGCAGAAGTTGCAGAGAGCTGAGATCACGCCACTGCACTCTAGCCTGGGTGACAAAGCAAGACTCCATCTCAAAAAAACAAAAAAATTTTTTTATATATATATAAAACCAAGCACAAAGAACCAAAGGGAAAAAAACAAATTGGACTTTATCAAAATTAAAAACTTTTGTGCTTCAAAGTACACTATCAAGAAAGTGAAAAGACAAGCCACAGAATGGAATAAAACATTTGCAAATCAATATATAATGGTTTAGTATCCAGAATATATTAAAAAAAACCTCTCATATCTCAACAGTAAAGATAAACAAATTGAAAATGGACAAAGGATTTGAACAGACATTACTCCAAAATACATAATAGTCAATAAGCACATGGAAACAGGCTCCACATCATCAGTCATTAAGGAAATGCAAATCAAAACCTCAGTGAGACACTTCTTCACACACACTATGACTAAAATTTAAAAAGGGAGTTATAAATGTTGCCAAGAATGAGAAAATGGAATGCTCAAACACATGCTGGTGGAAATGCAAAATGTTGTAGCCACTTTGAAAAACAGCCTGGCAGCTCCTCAAAAGGTTAAGCAGAATTACTGTATGATCCAGCAATTCTAATTCTTAGATATATACCCAAGAAAATTGAAAACATATGTACATACAAAAAAAAAAAAAACAACTTGCACATGAATGTTCACAGCAGCATTCTTCTTAATAGCCAAAATTTGGAATCAACTCAAATATACATTAACGGATGAATGGATAAGTAAAATGTGGTATATCCATTCAATGGAATAATATTCAGTCACAAAAAGGGTACTGACACATGCTACAACAGTGACGCACTCTGAAAACATTATGCTAAATGAAAGAAGTCAAACATAAAATATCATATATTATATTACTCAATTTTTATGAAATGTCCAGAAAATGCAAATTCAAGGAGACAGAAAGTAGATTAATGGTTGCCAGGGGTCATAGGAAGGGGGCATGAGGAGTGACTGGTAGTGGGTATGGTGTTTCTTTTGGGAGTGATGAAGATGTTCTGGGATTATATAGTGGTAATAGTTGTACAGCTCTGCAAATATACTAAAACCAATGAATTGTACACTTTAAAAGAGTGAATTTTATGTTATGTAAATTGTATCTCAATGTTTTTAAAAAGCCAAATGGCTCACCTTAAAAAATGGATTTCCTCACTTCTGTTTCAGGCCACCAAGATATTTCTAAAAATATAGAAATGTTTACAATGATATTTGACATTTATAATCCTACTGCAACAAATACTACAATCAAATTTCTTTTTAACCAAATTATTTGCAGATATCAGTTGATAGTCCACATGTTATACCTATACTTGCTTCTAAATAATAAAGATCTGAAAATTCCTTCTACAGCCATACCACCCTGAACGTGCCCCATCTCATCTGAAAATTCCACTGAGTTCATGATTTATCTCATAGTCATTTTTAAAATTTATATTTTTCTGAAGTAACAGAAGTTAAAACAAAGTCTTCATTTGAGAAATTTTAGTAACATTGTCATCTAGAAACAGGTAAAACTATTGCTCTTGCAGTGACTATTATTTAGCACAATCATCTTAAGGCAATACTTTAAAATTTAATTCCTGTTCATAGGACAAAAAAAAGGTGAGGCAAGAAACAATTTTTCAATATTGGTATTCATGTTAGTCTGTTCTCACACTGCTATAAATAATTGCCCGAGACTGGGTAATTTATAAAGTAAAGAGTTTTAATTGACTCACAGTTCAATTAGGGAGGTTGGGGAGGCTCATGAAACTTACAATCGTAGTGGAAGGGGAAGCAAACACGTCCTTCTTCACATGGCAGCAGGAAGAAGTGAAGAGCAAAGTGGGAGAAATCCCCTTATAAAACCATCGGATCTCAGGCTAGGTGCTGTGGCTCACGCCTGTAATCCCAGCAGCACTTTTGGAGGCCGAGGCAGGCGGACCATCTGAAGTCAACAGTTTGAGACCAGCCTAACCAACATGGAGAAACCCCGTCTCTACTAAAAATACAAAATTAGCCGGGCGTGGTGGCACATGCCTGTAATCCCAGCTACTCAAGAGGCTGAGGCAGGAGAATTGCTTGAACCCGCAAGGCAGAGGTTGTGGTGAGCCAAGATCGTGCCATTGCACTCCAGCCTGGGCAACAAGAGTGAAACTCCGTCTCAAAAAAAAAAAAAAAACCCCATCAGATCTCATGAGAACTCGCCATCACAAGAACAGCATGAGGGTAACCGCCACCATAATTAAATTACCGCCCACTGGGTCCCTCCCACAACACATAGGGATTATGGGAACTATTAACACAATTCAATTTGGTGGGGACACAGCCAAACCGTATCAGTATTACAATACAATATGTAAACCAGATGCTTTAAACCATAAAACAAACTCAGATTTTCTTTCCCCTGGAATATAAATAGCACTACAGGGCTTAATCTATACAGTAATAAGAGTTAAAGTGAAAATTTTCCAAAGCACTAAAAAGAAAACATACTCTTTATATCTGCCTTTTGTAACATTGTTTTGTATATCTGGTTTTCCATATCAAAAGTCTGTAAACTTTGCATTAACACTATAATCTACAATGGAAGCTTTGTAAGCATCTGAAAGAGAATGAAATAGTAAGTCAAGTCTGATATTACTGGGTTGTTCCACGCATAGTTAAATAAGAATATCAATCCTTCCAAAAATCTAAAGGTAGACCAGTTGTGGTCATTCATGCCTGTAATCCCAGCACTCTGGGAGGTCTAGGTGGATGGATCGCTTGAGGTCAGGAGTTTGAGACCAGCCTGGCCAACATAGTGAAACCCTGTCTCTACCAAAAATATAAAAATTAGCCAGGTGCAGTGGCATGTGCCCATAGTCCCACCTACTTGGGAGGCTGAGGTGGGAGAATCACTTGAACCCTGGAGAAAGAGGTTACAGTGAGCCAAAATCTCACCACTGCATTCCAGCCTGGCTGAGTCTGTCTCAAAGAAAAAAAAAAAACAACTAAGTGTAAAGAAGAGGGCTTAACCATTTGAGAAATAAACATCAAGGTCTGCCATGATTAAGCTACCTTCTTAAAAAGCATTAATGGATTACAATAGTTTCAATAGTTTACATGGTTTTCACTCCTTAAGTTCAATGAAAATTGCATATATTGTTTTTACTCTTGAACACAGTGGTTTATACTATATCAGGGTGGTTAGTCACAAGAAAGACACAAACACAGAAAGGATAACCTTATCCAACTTCAGTATTATTTTAGTAGTAATGTGTATAAAATCCAACCACTGCTTGGGTGACCTTAGGAAAGAGCAAGCTTAAGAGATGAAAACATTTACACCTTTTAATTAAATTATACTGTTACCACATAAAAGTGTGAGGTTCAACATTTGTTTTCTTAAAAACAGAGCACTAAACAGTTTAATACAGGACCTAACTGATGGCTAAGATGTTTCTAAAAGGTATGCAGAACCCTTAAGACTATACTGCATCAAGGAGTTCTTTTGAATTATGTATATTCAAATGATGGTGTTATAATTTACATTGAAACGCCACAACAAAATCTTGATAAAACAAGATATAGGAGAAATAAAAATTGATTTCTGAACCAAATGTGTAGTACTTTACCCTAGAGTAAATCACTGGGAAATATAAGCAGAAAACAATTGCATATTCAAACTGGAAAGAGTCAGAGCACATATGCTTTTAAAAATAAACCTCAAAAAACTGTTCTATCAGTTTAGGTTTTTTTTTTTTTTTTTTGAGCATGTCTTTTCTAAATAATTCTCACTTATCATTCCAGAAAATATAACAGTTTGTAAGAACTCATGCAAAAATGTTTCTCTAAGGCCATGAATTGGTTTGCTAAGTTGCATTGTTTTATTCAAGTAAAAAGCCCTTCTAGAACAAGGAGTCTGTAGAGAAAACCAATCACCTTCAACTCTCGGGCCTATACACCTGTTAGGAGCTCTGTCACTCTGAAAGCCAAAAGATAGAATGCTCATTTGAGCATTTGCAAAATGTTCTCTATTTATATTTTTAAAAATCTAATACATGTAAGTTTTTCTGGCAGATTCTTTCTGTATGTTACAAAACAAAACATCAAAAGCTCAAAGTAAGATAAGAATCCCTTTTTCTTAGAAAGGTCAAGCAGATCCTTCTTGACATCATGTCTTTTACACAATAGCATATTGTTCATATAAAAGGTCTCTTATCCTATAAAAATCTTGACAAAGGCAGCCTTCTAATCCAATGCGTCCAGTTTCCGTCTAGAAACCAAATAAAAAAAAATTCTTTAGTACATTTTCTATTCATTAATATGCAGACATAAAAACTGAAATATATTAAATAGATTACTTTATGATTGGTCAGGACACAGGTTGCTCTGATTCACAGCATATGGATATAATACTGAAGTCATGAATTTTACATAGACACATAAATGTCAGAGGATTCAAATAATTAAAATTTACTATAAAATTTTATACCATTTCTTCAAGAGTCTTTCATAAGCCTTCAAGTCAGTAAGACTTCTGTAAGCCTTTGAGGTCATGATCATGAACATAAATTACTGATCTTCAGTTTTGTGAAAATACCAATCAAGAATTACAGAATTTCAAAATGACAAGACATCAGAAGTATGTGTTCAATTCAGCCCTTATTGAAAACACACTTACTCTGCGGACTGCTACTTGATTGTTGCAAACAAGTACACCTCCTACAAATTCAGCTTGAATCCCCTCCCGTAAGAGAACTTGCTTGAAGTCTGACAGTCTTGGTTCATTCATAAAAACTGACTGATGTCCAGGAACCTTAGATAAAGTCAAAGGGGAAAGAATAACTTCAAGTAAAACACCAGACATACAACTGTACTGAATAAAGTAAAATACTACATGATCTCTAAGAGATTTTCTATTATTCCCTGAAGTCCTCTGACAGATCATTTCAAGACTGCAAATCACATTCCAAGTTGTTATTCTACATTTTACCCCATTATTTAACATTACAACGCCCTTCACATTTTCTGTTTCACAATCAGTTTTGTTAGTCATGCCTCATCATAACAGAGACGTTTGGTAATGCTATGCTCTTCACTCACCCACTTGCCTAACGGGATTAACTAGAGTGCCATGGGCAGGACTGAACCAAAAATTCATTTTCTAGATCCCAGTCATTTGCTTACTTCAAAGGACAATTCCTCCCTAATCCCATTTTCCCTGTCCCTCCTTCCTCAGAGCAAATGCAATGGATGCCACAGGTTCTACAATCAGTAAGGAAAGTGGTTCTTGCCTAATGCTGCTGCTTTCTGCTTTGACATTACTTTGAAGAGCTTTAGCTTTAGCACAGAAGAAAAAAAATTCTAATTCCTCCTCCCAATTTTGAGGGTTGTACTAGAAGGGAATCTAGCAACAGAGGCTGTCTCTCTATTCTTAATTTCATAGTAGGGCTGAAGACATCACTTGACACGCATGTAAGATTCATAGTTTTAGTATTTTTCCAAGTTTAATTACCTAGAATCTTTGCTAGTTAACTAGATACCTCTCAAGAATATGTAAATGCTAGATGAAATTGTACGTACACTTAATTAAAGATTTCTAACTATATCAAAACCAAAAGTTATTTGAACTGAATGAAACATAAAAAAAATGGAGTGTATGACTTTCGGCTGGGGGCGGTGGCTCACACCTGTAATCCCAGCACTTTGGGAGGCCGAGGTGGGTGGATCACCTGAGGTCAGGAATTCAAGACCAGCCTGGCCAACATGGCAAAATCCCATTTCTACTAAAAATACAAAAACTATCTGGGCCTGGTGGCTCATGCCTGTAATCCCAGCTACTTGTGAGACTGAGGCAGGAGAATCGCTTGAACCCAGGAGGCAAAGGTTGCAGTGAGCCAAGATCATGCCACTGCACTCCATCCTGGGCAGCAGAGCAAGACTCCATCACAAAACAAAACAAAACAAAACAGAAAACACACCAGTATGACTTTCTTAGAAAACTATAAATCTCCAGACTGGAAGCAGGCAGGTGATCTTCACAATCATCAAACTTAAAATTTAAAAATCCATACCAAAAAAACAAATCATGAAACAATTATGTACCTTAAAAGATTTGCTAAAGATATGTCATTCCTTAGCTGTATAGAATTGATATATACACAAAGACAAACACGCAGAAGCACGCTGCAAGTTCTCTTTTTTAAAAACTCCAAAATCAGCCCAAATGTGAGACATTTTATGTTCCAGACAGGGTCTCGCTCTATCATATAGGCTAGATGCAGTGGCACAATCGTGGCTCACTGTAGTCTTGAACTCCTGAGCTCAAGCAATCCTCCTGCCTCAGCCTACTTAGCTGAGACTCCAGGCGCATGCCACCATGCCAGCTAGGTTTTTGACAGGGTGTCACTATATTAATCAGGCTGATCTAGAGCTCCTGGCCTCAAGCAGTTCTCCCACCTCAGCCTCCCAGAGTGCTGGGATTACAGGCGTGAGTCACTGCCCCCAGCTGACACATATTTTAAATGGTTAAAAATATAAAAGGTTCCACAGACCCACTTAGTTTTGGAAGGGGGAAAAAAGAAACCAAAAGACACGAAAACTAGAAGGATGACAAATTCAGGAAGAAATCAAAAAAGCACATGCTTTTTTTTACCTCATGAGGTGGCAAGGGTTCCAAAGTAGGAATGATTTCACTTTCTTCACCTGTTTCTTTTTCATCATCTCCGAACAGACTTTTCATGGCCTTTTGTTGTGCTATAACACTAGAATCTGAGGGAGCGTCCACTTGCATCTCTGAGTCTTCTCCATCATCCTTTAGTTCTCCTTCTTCTAAAATAACCCCTGTGTCCACTTTGGAAACTCTCATATCTAAGACACCATCTATCCAAGCTAATTCAGCATCTTTTGCCTTACAAAACTGAAGAGAGCTGACAAGTGAGTCTTTTAATCTCACCTAGATATGCAAAAGAGGGGGAGAGAAATAAAACCCACAGAATACAGATTAACAAATTAAATATAACCTATTATCATTTTCTGCCTCTGGTAATATGTTAAAATTGGAAAATCTTTCACTCATCTGAGCCTCACAATGACCTGCAATGACCTCGTTACCTTGCAGATCACTGGGCCCCTGCCTACTTTCCAAAACAGAGATTCTTAACCCTGACTACAAAATGGAATCACATGGCAATTAAAACAAAAAGTGTATCAGAGCCTCATATCTAGTGTTTCTAACATAACTGGTAAGACTAAGACCAGAACACTGAATCCCTCTGACCCTCACAAAGCTCCCCAGATGATTCTCATGTGCAGTCAAGGTTGAGAACCACTGATCAGTCCCATCCTCTAGTACTTGGCATACTTCACTAGGTACCGAACTGCTTGTCCTTTCAGAATTTCACATCTCCATATTCTTGGAAGGGTGCTTCTTCTTACTCTGCCCAGAATAAATTTCCTGCCTGATATGTGCACATCCATTTCTTCCAGATATAGACATCACTCCAGCCTTAAACTGACACCATCTCCCATTACCAGACAAAGTTTATCTCTCTACTGCGCTAGTCCTATATTCGGCATCCGTCTCCATTTGTTCCAATCAGGAGTAGAACCTTGATATCCGGGAATTCTTCTAAAACTTTTTAATTCTTAAACAATCATTTTCCTTACCTCTGTACTTTTGCAAATATGGTTCCCTCTGCCTAGAATGCTCTTCCCCCACTTTTCTACTCCATCTGTCCTGATAACCCATCTAAACATCAGTTAGGATTAGTTATCACTTCCTGCAGGAAACCTTTTCTAAACCTCTAAAGGTGGGTGGTTTCCCCTCTTAATACTCTCATAGCATCCTATACTTCTTCTCAGAGGCACAACAACGTGATAAATGATATTTCCTTGTTCTAAGCCCCATACAGTATCAGGACTGCTAGGGCAGGAGACCATCCATGTCTGTCTGTCTCACACATCTCTGTATTTCTAATGTTACCTGTCCTAACCTGCCACAAAAAGTACTTATTTCTACTCACTGGCAACTCCTGGCATGTTTACCTGGTAGATGTGAGTTTCACTCGTGGCATCAACTGTTTCATGCAGCTTTGGCATGTACACTTTAATATCTTTCCCACCAAAGGCGCGACAGCACTCTGCCAGATCCTGACTGGCCTCTGGTGGGCCATGGACGATGATCAGCTGTCGTGGTTTCATCTGATTAATGATTTTTTTAATGGAATCCCCATCAGAGCGTCCTTCATAGTCTATGTAGGTAACCCGGGCTCTGTAATTAGATATGATTATTCAAGGTAACTTTTCTCATAATTCTAAAAAAAAAAATGGCTTTTATCATGTATATAACATATAACACTAGGATTTGAGAAATACACATGTGTTATAGTATCTGTATGATTTATTTTTATTTATTTATTTATTTATTTATTTTTTTTCTGAGACTAGGTCTCACTCTTTTGCCCAGGCTAGAGTGCAGTAGCATGATCTTTGCTCACTGCAACCTCTATTTCCCAGGTTCAAGCAATTCTCCTGCCTCAGCCTCCCAAGTAACTGGGATTATAGGTGTGCACCACCACGCAGGGATAATTTTGCATTTTTAGTAGAGATGAGATTTCACCATGTTGGCCAGGCTGGTCTTAAACTCCTGATCTCAAGTGATCCGCCTACCTCGGCCTACCAAAGTGCAGGGATTACCATGCCCAGCCCTATCTGTGTTATTTAGATCTTATCTACACTCAAAAATATATACTAAATGATATTACTGGACAAATTTTGTTCTCTGATGACTTAAAAACAATTCCAAAATGATCATTTACTGGTATTATTTAACTAAGTAGAAAGAGGGGGAAAAAGGTTTCTAACTACTTCAGATCACAACAGTATTTTCCAGACATTAGGGTCTTAGAGATGTTTAAGTCACGGAGTATATTTTATGAAACAAGCAGTGACTCAGAAAAATTAAACTGTGAGTTACACTATTCCCTTTCACCTGCTTACAGACTAAAAAGGCCAGAAATAATTCTTCTTCATATAAATGGACAATTTAATGTTACAATTTAAGTACACCCCTCACCACCAATTCAATTACTTTGGCATTCAAATACCATTAATGAAGAGAAAATATCATGCCACCATATTTCGCAAGTCTCTTCATACAAAAATAAATTAAATTTTAAAAGCACAAACTTACTAAAGAATATTCAGAAATTTCGCTTGAAATAATGTAAATTATATAATTCAAATGCTTGAAATTTTATCTTATAATCTATTTTCAAAATGTCACAGAAGCACTTACTTTATTTCAATAGATTCTGTTGTAGAAATACATTTAGTAGGAACATCAGATAAATCCTGATCCATGGGTTCATCTCCATTTGTCAAACCAGATTCTAATTTGCTTTTTTCTTCTTCAGTAGCTTGAAGCTCTGGCACCAAGAAATCCTCTGGTCTAAATAAGAAGTCTCTAATTAGAAGCAGTAAAAAAGCAAGCTAATACTACATAACATATATAACTAGTAGGCGGCATAATTTTTGGAGTCCTCACATATCTCAAGATTTAAATATACATTTCATCCAAAGCCAATGAAATTTGATATCAATTACCAGATGACTGTATGTATTGCGTTTTTTGTTTTTTATGAGATGGAGTCTCGCTCTGTCACCCAGACTGGAGTGCGGTGGCGCCATCTTGGCTCACTGCAACCTCTGCCTCCCAGTTCAAGCAATTCTCTGCTTCAGCCTCCAGAGTAGCTGGGATTACAGGTGCCCACCACCACACCCAGCTAATTTTTTTGAATTTTTAGTGGAGACGGGGTTTCACCATCCTGGCCAGGCTGGTCCTGAACTCCTGACCTCGTGATCCGCCCGCCTCGGCCTCCCAAAGTGCTGGGATTACAGGCGTGAGCCACCACACCCAGCCTGTATTACTCTTTTTCTCTCTTTTTTACCTGTATTATTCTTTTTCTCTCTTTTTTTTTTTATACAGGATAGTAGTGTTTTCAAATTTGCAATTACAACATGTGATTGCAGTTGTTTTTCTAATTATGAGTATAGATTTTGTAAATTTTCCATGGTTTCACTCATGCTATATCATATTCCTCTTAATCTCATAAAACTTGTATAATACTTAAGACATAATCCATTGGTAATGCAATCACCAGTCATCCAAAGTTCTCTCTTTTTTTTTTTTGAAGATAGAGATGGGGGTCTCACTATATTGTCTGGGCTGGTCTCATACTCCTGAGCTCAAGTGATCCTCCCATCTAGGCCTCCCAAAGTGTTGGGATTACAGGTGTGAGCCACCATGCACAGCCCCAAAGTTCTTCCTATTCTACATCTTCCTCTCTTTTTAAGTGGGGAAAAAAAGTCTTGATCATGTGATCATGTTTTTAAACCTTTACACAACTAAGTCATAAAACTGCCAGTTTTCTCCTAATATTCTCTGTTTCTCAGCATCTCTATTTTTATGTTTCAAGTTACAAGTCTTCTGTGTCTTCAGTCTGAGGTACTCAGAAGCTAACCACGTACATGTGACTAGAAAGATCAAATTCATGAACTGAAAAATGATAACACAGTTAATACCTCCAATTCGCAAGAGAGAAAAGTTTGTTTTGCTCACATACTTGATAATCTCTCCATATTCATCCCATTTAATTCTTTCTTCTGGGGCAGGAAACATAGGATAGGACTTTTTTGCCTGTTTGAAAAAACTTCCTTTACGACTGCCTTCACCTTTCATCATCAAGTCATGCTTCGTCTTATGAGCTGATGGCTGGTCAATATCTTCCTCAATGTCACTCTCATCACTGGAATCTATATCTGCCCTAGGAGGATTTTAGAATAGATCGAGGTCATAAAGTTTCAAAGATATTTTAAATTAATATTTATCTATTTATTACTGAATCAATCCTCAATATTAATAATTCAATATTAACTCAAATGATAATATACAGTTATGTCGGTCAACAACAATGGACCACGTATACAACAGAGGTCCCATAAGATTACTGTACCTTTTCTATGTTTAGATACATTTAGATAAACAAATACTTAACATTGTGTTACAATGGCCTACAGTATTCAGTACAGTAACATGCTGTACGGGTTTGTACCCTAGGAACAATGGGCCATATCATAGACCCTGGACACACAGTAGGCTATACCATCAAGGTTTGTGTAAACATTTTTCCTAATGTTTGCATAATGACTAAATCCCCTAACAACACTTTTCTCAGAAGGTGTCCCCATCATTAAGTGAAGCATGACTGGAATAACATTCAATATTATTGGACTGACATTTTATAAAACATAACAAATAAATGCATAATAATATTAGCACTGACAGGATCTGGTATTCTAGACATTTGAAAGATGTCTGTAACAAAATTAAGTCTTATGAAAACTTAAAAATATTTTTAATGAAACATTTAAGTCAAAGACACACTCTTCTTAAATTGCATCTATAAGTTTGTAATCTGTCTGAAAATGACTCACTCTTTTGACTGCTCAAGCTTTTTGGCAGCTTCTTTCTTTAGTTTCTCTTTTTCCAAGTATTCCTCAAGTTCTTTCCCTTCAAGCTTCACACGTTTCCTCAACTAAAAAAAAGTAACAGATGAAAGGAAATGTTAATATTAGGGGGTTAAAGCAGTGGGATATGAGATACACCGCATCTCTAAATTGCTCTGTCATCTTTAAACTGATGTTTTTCCTCTGAAATTAATCAAGTTTCCATTACATGCAATTATAGGTCCTACTTAGATTAGTATTAAAATTGAGCTGTCACACATCATCTAGAATGGGTTTAATTTACATCAAACTGGTTGGTCAGGCACAGTAGCTCACACCTATAATCCCAGCACTTTGGGAGGCCAAGGTGGGAGGACTGCTTGAGGTCAGGAGTTCAAGACCAGCCTGGGCAACATAGGTTGACTCTGTCTCTAGGAATAATTTAAAAATTAGCTGGGAGGCTGGGCACGATGGCTCACACCTATAATCCTAGCACTTTGCGAGGCAGGAAAATCACTTGAGTTTGAGACTAGCCTGGGCAACATAATGAGACTTCGTCTCCACAAAAAAAAAAAAAAAAAAAGCCAGGAGTGGTAGCACGCACCTGTAGTCCCAGCTACTCAGGCAGCTGAGACTGAGGATCACTTGAGTCTGACAGAGCAAGACCCGGTCTCAATCGATCAATCAATCAAACTGGTTAAAAATCCCCAATCAGGAAAAGAAAATACAGATAAGCATTTTTATAATTTGGAGTAGGTGAGGCCCAAAAGCCATAACAAGAAACAAATAAATGCAGCAACATGAATGAAGAAAATCTCCCTTTGACATTTTAAACCTCATAAAATAAGAAACTGTAAAGAAAAACAAAAAAGAAACAGAAAAATATCTTCAGCACTGTGACCAACAAAAACTATTTTTTCCTAAGAGCTCTTCCAAATGAGTTAAGAAAAGGATGATCAACACATGAAAAAGGACAAGATACTTAGAAAGGCAATTTACAAAATAAGAAAGACACATAACTACTGGCCATGAAAAGACCCTTAACTTTACTAATTTCTGAAAAGTACAAAATATAAAAAACATAATTGTTTTCATCTATGAGATTGGCAATGCCATACATGGGGAAAGAGCACCTTCTTCCATTGTCTGTGGGAAAATTAGTGCAACTATGTTAAAAGGCAATTTGCTAACATCTAAAAATAAAAATTTATCATTTGACACAGTATTTCTACTTCTAGGAATTTATCCTACTGAAACAATCACAAATGTGTAAAAAAAAAAAAAAAGTACATTAGTACATTGCAGCAATGTTTATAATAGTAAAAAACTGGACAAAATTTTAAAATCCATCAAAATGGAACGATTAAATCAGTAGTTCTCATATATTTATCTCAGGACTACCTAAGACTCCTAAAAATTAGAGAACTCCAAAGAGCTTTTTGTTTTTGTGGGTTCTATTTCTGAATGTCTACCTTATCAGAAATTAAAACTGAGCAATTTTTTAAATATTTATGTTCATTAAAAAATAATAAAACCAGCCGGGCATGGTGGCTTATACCTGTAATCCTAGCACTTTGGGAGGTTGAGGCAGGCAGACCACCTAAGGTCAGGAGTTCGAGTCCAGCCTGGCCGACATGGTGAAACCCTGTCTCTACTACAAATACACAAAGTAGCCGGGCATGGTGGCACATGCATATAATCCTAGCTACCCAGGAAGCTGAGGCAGGAGAACCGCTGGAACCTGGGAGGCGGAAACTGCAGTGAGCCACGATCGTACCATCGCATTCCAGCTTGGACAACAGAGTGAGACTCCAGCTCAAGAATAAATTAATTAATAATAGTAATAGGCCAGGCGCAGTGGCTCATGCCTGTAATCCCAGCACTTTGGGAGGCCGAGGCGGGTGGATCACCTAAGGTCGGGAATTCGAGACAAGCCTGATCAATATGGAGAAAGCCCATCTCTACTAAAAGTACAAAATTAGCCAGGCGTGATGGCACATGCCTGTAATCTCAGCTACTAGGGAGGCTGAGGCAGGATAATCACTTGAACCTGGGAGATGGAGGCTGCAGTGAGCCGAGATCGCACCACTGCACTTCAGCCTGGGCAACAAGAGCGAAACTCTGTCTCAAAAACAAAATAAATAATGATAAAACCACATGCCAACATTAACAAATTTTTACAAAAAATAATTACATTTTCCAAAGCAAAAAAAGATAGTGTGAAGAACGGCATTATTTTATTTTTTTGAGACAGGGTCTTGCTCCATTGCCCAGGCTAGAGTGCAGTGGTGCAATTATAGCTCACTGCAGCTCAATCTTCCAGCCTCAAGCGATCCTCCCACCTCAGCCTTCTGAGTAGCTGGGACTACTACAAGCACGCACCACCACTCCCAGCTAATTTTTGTATTTTTTTGTAGAGACCGGGTCTTGCCATGTTGCCCAAGCTGGTCTCAAACTCCTGGAGTCAAGCAATCTGCTCTCCTCAGCCCCCCAAAGTGCTGGGATTACAGGCATGGGCCACTGCACCTGGCCAATAGCATTACTCTATATTTTTTCAAATCTCTTTAACGTCTAGCTCAACAGAAGACAGCTGGATTCTCACATTTGCTTCTCCATTCACTCTCTTGCAATATGCTGTTTTGGTTAAAGTATACGAAGAAAATCCAGGCTTACACACATGTATAGTTGGAAAAATATGTAAATAGTCCTTTCATGGATATTATTCTTCGATACTACATTAAAACTCAGAAAGTGGTAGTTTCTTAAAGGTTAGTTTTAATGCAGAACCTGAAACCATACGTATAGACTTTTTGTACTCTGTTACATTAAATTTTTTTTTTTTATGTATCTTACACTCTGTGGGTTTTTTCTTCATTTTGAGACAGGGTCTTGCTCTGTTGCCTACGATGAGTGCAGTGGCATGATCACTGCTCACTGCAGCCTCGAACTTCCGGGTTCAAGTAACCCTTCAACCTCCCAGCCTCCTGAATAGCTGGAACCACAGATGTGCACCACCATGCCCAGCTAATTTTTTATTTTTTGTAGAGACAAAGTCTCACTATGTTATCCAGACTAGTCTTGAACTCCTAGACTGAGGCCATCCTCCTGTCTTAGCCTCCCAAAGTGCTGGGATTACAGGCGTGAGCCACGGTGCCCAGTCTGTAT